ACAAATAATAATAATAAATAAAATTAAATAAATAATTCTTTATTTATTATTATTATTATTATTATTCAATTTAGCTAGAGAGAGAGAGAGAAAGAAAGCAAGCAAGTTTCCAGGTCCAGGACTCAAACCATAGTCAGTCATGTGGGAGTCCAGTGCCTTAACCACCACTCCACCTGCCAGCCCCACTGTATTCTACCTCCAGCCTTTAGCCAGCCCCTGGTTATGGGCACACATGTGCCCAGTGTACTGAGGGAAGTCTCCATTCTTGAACTGGGGACCTTCTTAAACTTTCATGTGAGATTCATCATGTTTATCGTTGTGCCACAGTCTGGCCCCAGATTCCACTTCTCCCCCTTTTTTTTAGGGTTTGTATTTAGTTTTATTTATTATGTGTGTACGCTTACTAGAGAGAGACATAGAAAAAGTAAGAAAGCAAGCCACCTGGTCCAACTTAAACTGTGGTCGGCCAGGTGGGAGTGCCCTAACCACCATACCACCCGCTGCCCCCACCCTTTTCTTTTTCAGTTTGTCATAGGGTCTGTGTGATCATTGGAGAGACAGAGAGAGGAGAGAGAGAAGGAAAGTGAGAAATCACCTTCTGAGTTATGGCAATGCTGTAATCCCTTTTCTTCTCTTCTTCTCTCGGGATTTTGGACAGGCAGGCACACATGCCTCGTGTGTTTTTCAAGCTGCTAGGTCCAGAACTTGAACTGTGTAGTTGGCTATGTGAGATCCAGCAGCCTTAACTGCCATGCCACCTGCTGGCTCCCAGATTCCACTTTTTAAAAAAAAAATTTTGTCACAGCCCACATATGCTTGCCAGAGGGGGTGGGGTGGAGAGAGTGAGAAAACACCCAATCACTCCCCCCCCCATAGGGGATAGTTATACTGAAGTCCTTTCTTCTCTTTTTCTTGGCATCTTAGGCATACATACACACATGCCCAGCTTCTTTTTCAAGCCTCCAGGTCCAGGACCCCAACCATTACATTACATTGGCCATGTGGGATTCAGTGCATTATCCTCCATGCCACCTGCTGGCTCCTAGATTCCACTTTTTTTTTTTTTTTTTTAAGAGACTTTTGCCTTAGGGTCTGTGCACTCAACAGAGAGAGAGAGACAGAGACAGTGAGAAGGAAAGTGAGAAGTCACCCCCCACGGGGATGGTCATGCTGCAGGCCTGCCTCCATTCTCCTCCCAGGATCTTGGGCATGCACGCACATGTGCCTGGCGTAAGTTTCAAGCCATCAAATCTGGGACTTGAACCACGGTCAGCCATGTAAGAATCCAGCAACATAACTGTTACATCATCTTCTGGCCCCCAGATTTCATTTCTTTTTTTGGAGGGAAAGGTTTTTGCTATAGGGCACGTGCACTCCCAGAGAGAGACAGAGAGATAGAAAGTGAGAAATCACCCCCCCAGGGGGGATGGCCACGCCATAATCCCTTCTCTTCCATTCTCCTCTCGGGATCTTGGGCATGCATGCACACGTGCCTGGCGTTAGTTTAAGCTACTGGGTCCAGGACTCGAACCACGGTCAACTACATGGCAGTCCAGCAACATAGCCATTATGCTAACCGCTGGTCCCACAGATTCCATTTCTTTTTTCTTTTCTTTTCTTTTTTTTTGGGGGAGAGGTTTTTCGCTATTGGGTGTGAGCGATCGCCAGAAAGACAGAGAGAGACAGAGAGACAGAAAGCGAGAAATCATCCCCAGGGGGGATGGCCATGCTGCAATCCCTTTTCCTCCATTCTCCTCTTGGGATCTTGGGCACGCATGCACACGCGCCCGGCGTGAGTTTTAAGCCACCGGGTCCGGGACACGACCCACGGTCGACTACATGGGAGTCCAGTGACATAGCCATTACACTAACTGCTGGTCCCAGATCCCATTTCTTGATGGAAAAATTCTAGAGAAGCATGTGGGAGAACAGATGTCAGAGCCATCTTTGGAAAATGTGATCCAAAAGTACAATCTGTCTCAGTAAGAATTTGGAATTCTATCTGCACTATCCACACTATCCAGGAAATGCCAGATTTATAAATTAAATAGGCCGCAGTTGTTAGTACTCACAAATGTAAATGTGCTCTGGAGGGTTGTGCTCTTGATTCAGATCTGACAAAGTTTCCACAAATGATTGTGAGCTCACAATCCAGAATTATAAATAAGGACACACTATATTGTGAAAAAGACTCTTTTTTTCTTTTCTTTTTTTTTTTTGAGATTTTTAAAAAGAATAATTCAATTTATTTTATTTCTTCTTCTTCAATTTGACCAGAGAGAGAAGAGGAAGAGAAGAGAGGGAGAGAGAGAGAGAGAGAGAGAAAAGCAAGCCACCAGGTTAAGGACTCAAGCCAGAGTCAGCCATGTGGGAGTCTAGTGTCTTAACCATCATGCTGCCTGCTGGCCTCATTTTTCTTTTTAAGACTGATTTATGGGACCAGCAGATGGAGTAGTGGTTATGTTGCTGGACTCCCACATAGTTGACTGTGGTTCAAGTCCTGGATCCAGGGGCTTAAAACTCACGCTGGGCATGTATATGTGTGTGCTCAAAATCCTGAGAGGAGAATGGAGGAGAAGGGATTGTGGCATGGCTATCCCCCCTGTGGGGGTGATTTCTTGCTTTCTGTCTCTCTGTCTCTCTGTGTCTCTCTGGCAAGCGCATGCACCATACAGCAAAAATCTCCCTCTAAAAAAAAATTGATTTATTTCAGGGCCAGCAAGTGGCCTAATGGTTACAGCACTGGACTTACTGCATGGCAGACTGAAGTTTGAGTCCCGCATACAGCAGCTTAAAACTCATGCTGGGCGAATGAGCACCTGTGCCTGAAATCCCATGAAAATAGAGGAGACTGTGATGTGGTCATCCCCCCTGGTGGGTGATTTCTCACTTTCTTTCTCACTATCTCTCTGTCTCTCTCCTCTCTGGTGAACACATGCACCCTATGGCAAAACCTTAAAAAGAAGTTTTTGCTATGGGGCGCGTGTGCTCACCAGAAAGACAGAGACAGAGAGACAGAAAGCGCGAGAAATCACCCCCAAGGGGGATGGCCACACCACAATCCCTTCTCCTCCATTCTCCTTTTGGGATCTTGGGCACCCACACACATGTGCCCAGTCACCGGGTCCAGGACTCGAACCTCAGTCGACTACATGGGAGTCCAGCGACATAGCCATTACACCAACTGCTGGTCCTTGATATATTTCTTAAATAAGCTAAAGAGTCAGAGAGACAATACCTTAATGGAGTCATTTTTTAAAATAATAATTCTTTGTTTTATTTACTATTATTATGTTTTTTAATTCACCAGAGAGAGAAAGAGAAAGTGAAAAAAAGCTGCCAAATCTGGGACTTGAATTGCAGTCAGCCATGTGGAAGTCCAGTGCCTTAAGCACCACACCTCCTGCTGGTCCGCCTAATGGGGCCTTGATGTCATGATTAACTCCCAGATTTAGTCTGCCCATGTCATGGGTGCACATGTGCCTGCTATATTCAGAAGGTCTCTGATTGGCACAGGAGTTTTGACCTGCTCTGTTTTGGACCTGGGCTGATTCACCCCTCCTTAGGCAACCTGGTGGTCCCTTGTTCCCAGGAGATCACCCTACTGATGCCGAACTTGGTGTGGACATTCGATCAGCATACAGCCCAGAACTCCTGGACTCAAGCTATCCTCTTGCCTCAGCCTCCTGGGTAGCTGGGATTACAGGCACGCGCCACTGTGCCCGGCAATTCAGGAGGTCTCTGATGCGAACCTGGAACCTTCCCACATGAGTCAGCCTTGCAGGGTGCTGCATTTTACTGCTGAGCCACTATCTGGTCACAGAACTCTGTTTAAATAAGAGCAGAAATAGGCCCCTCCATCACCTCTCCTGGTGAGTTTGAGAGCTGCAGGGAGGGAGACACAGCACTGCAGGAGAGCCAGGCCACAAGATGGTGGCCAAGATTTGGTGCACAAAGGGAGAAAGAGGCGATCTGCTTTCTGATCCAATTTCTGACCCTCTCATTCACTCTGTTGCCCATAGGGAACTTCCAGGCAGGAGAGGATGGTCGGATTCTGAAACGTTTCTGTCAGTGTGAGCAGCGCAGCCTGGAGGAGCTGATGAGAGACCCCCTACGGCCTTTCGTGCCAGCCTACTATGGCATGGTGCAGCAGGATGGCCAGGCCTTCAACCAGATGGAAGATCTCCTGGCAGACTTCGAGGGCCCCTCCATCATGGACTGCAAGATGGGCAGCAGGTGGGGCCACAGTCAGCCATGGGGCAGGGGTGGAGGAGAGAGGTGGGTATAGATGAAAATAGTGCCTAGTCACTCAGTGATTGTACCAGCACACATTCTCACCAGTAGTGGATGAGAGTTCCTATATTTTTGCCAGAACTTGGGGCCATCAGTTAGCATAATGGCTATGTCACTGGACTCCCACATAGTCGACCGCAGTTTGCGTCCTGGACCTGGTGGCTTAAAACTCATGCCGGGCGTGTGTGCGTGCGTGTCCAAGATCCCGAGAGGAGAATGGAGGAGAAGGGATTGTGGTGTGGCCACCCCCCTGGGAGGTGATTTCTCGCTTTCTGTCTCTCTGTCTTTCTCTGTCTGTCTGGCGAGCGCACGCACCCTATAGCAAAAACCTCTAAAATAAAAAAGAACTCAGTATTCTGATGGGTGTGTAATGGTAGCTCATTGTAGTTTTTAATTTTTTTCAGGTTTTTGCCCTAGGGCATGTGTGCTCTCTAGAAAGAGAGAGAGAGAGAGAGAGGAGAGACAGTGACAGGAAAAGTGAGAAGTCACCCTCCACAGGGGGGATGGCCACACCCCAAACCCTTCTCTTCTAATTCACCTGGGATTTTGGGCATTCAGGCACACATACCTGGTGTGATTTTTAAGCTACTAGGTCCAGGACTCAAACCACAGTTGGCCATGTGAGAATCCAACACCTTAACCACCATGCCACCTGCTGACCCCACTCATTGTAGTTTTAGTTTGTTTTCCTGGTAATGAAAAGATTAGTCCTATCTCTCTCGCTGTGTCTTTTTTTTTTTTTTTTTTTTTTTTTTTTTTGCTTTAGATTGTATGTGCTGGCTAGCAACAGACAGAGACAGAGAGAGAAAGAAAGAAAACATCCCTCCCAGGGAGGATGACCATGCCACAGTCCCTTCTTCTCCATTCTCTTCTCCAGGTTTTGGATATGCATACCCACCCACCCAGTGTGTTTTTCAAACCACCAGTTCTGGAACTTGAACTGTATAGCCAACCATGTGGGATCTAGCCACCTTAACCTCCACGCCATCTGCTGGCTCAAGCATCTCTTCCTACATTGATTAGTCATTAGAAATCCTCTTTTGAAGGGTCAGCAGGTGGGATGGTGGTTAAGGTGCTGAACTCCCACATGGCTGACCATGGTTCAAGACCTGGACCTGGTGGCTTGTTTTCTCACTTTCCCTCTCTCTCTCTCTGCTCAAATTAAAATAAATGATTGAATAAATAAAATTTAAATAATTAAAAAAAGAAATCCTCTTTTGAAAAGTGTCTGTTTGAATCTTTTGCCCATTTATCTACTGTGCTGTCTTTTTCTTTTTGATCTGTAATTTCTTTTTTTTTTTTTTTTTTTGAGAGGTTTTTGCTACAGGGTGCGTGTGCTTGCCAGAAAGACAGAGAACAGAAAGAAAGCGAGAAATCATCCCCCACCTTGGGGGGGGATGGCCACGCCACAATCCCTTCTCCTCCATTCTCCTCTGGGGATCTTGGGCACACAGGCACATGCACCCGGCATGAGTTTTAAACCACCGAGTCCTGGACTTGAACCGTGGTTGGCTACATGGGAGTCCAGCAACATAGCCATTATGCTAACTGCTGGTCCCCCCCAAAAAAATTATTTAAAAAAATTCTTTTAATCTGATTTGTCAGACTTTTCATTATAGGTAGTGGGTTTGTGTTTAAGGAATTTTTGCCTGCTCCAAGATCATGAAAATATTCTCCTGTTTTCTTCTGTAAGCCTTATTGTTTTAACTTTTACATTTAAATCTGTAACCTATTTAGAATTAATTTTTATGAATTGTGTGAGGTAAGGATTGGGGTTAATTTTTTTTTCCATACGACTATCTTACTGATTCAGCACCATTTATTGAAAACACTTGCCTTTGCCAACTGAATTGTGATACCTTTTTTTTAAAAAATGTTTTATTTATTCATTCACTTATTTTTAATTTGACAGAGAGAGAGAGAGAGAGAGAGGAAGTGAGAAAGCAAGCTGCCAGGTCCGGGACTGGAACCTTGGTCAGCCATGTGGGCGTGTCCAGCTCCTTAATTACCATACTACCTGCTGGTCCCCTATGATACCTTCTTTGTTATAAACTTAGTGAATGTATGTGTATGTGCCAGTTTGTTGACTCTTGTTAATCTCCTTTTTATAAGAATTATTTTTATTTATTTACTTATTTTTATTTATTTATTTTAATTTGACCAGAGAGGGACAGAGAGAGAGAGAAAGTGAGAAATCAAGCCATCGGGTTCAGGACTTAAACCGTGGTCGCCATGTGGGAGTCCAGTGCCCTTAATCATCATGCCACCTGCCAGCCCTGATCTGTTAACTCTTCTATTCTATTGATCAGTCTATCCATTCTTGTGCAACACTGTAGCTTTATAGTGTAGTTTGATATCAGGAAGCATAAGTCCTCCAGCTTCACTTTTCATGATTTCCTTTGTTATATCTCTGTGTGCTCAGGACGTACCTAGAAGAGGAACTGGTGAAGGCACGAGAACGGCCCCGGCCCCGGAAGGACATGTATGAAAAGATGGTGGCTGTGGATCCTGGGGCCCCCACCCCTGAGGAGCATGCTCAGGGTGCAGTCACCAAGCCCCGCTACATGCAGTGGAGGGAGACTGTGACCTCAACCTCCACCCTGGGCTTCCGGATTGAAGGTGTGAAGGTGAGAGCCAGGGGCCCGCTGGCCTGTCACTAGAGGGCCTGGAATGATGTGAGGCAGGGCTTCTTGGGGAACATGAGTATCAAGGAAAGAAGCAGGATCTGGAGAGATTGAGAGGGAGACTGCAGAGGATGAAAGGTCTTACCTCTCTCTTTTCTCTCATCCCTATATCCATCAGAACTCAAGCATATTTTTTTAAAAGAATTTTTTTTAAATCTTTCTTTCTTAATTTATTTTCAATTTGGTCAGAGATGGACAAAATGAAGGGAGGGGGCGGGAGTGAGAAAGCAAGCTGCTAAGGTCCAAGACTCAAACTGTGGTCGTCATGTGGGGGTCCCGCACCCTTAACCACCATGCCACCTACTGCCCCCAGAACTCAAGGTTTGTTTATTTTTTTATTTTTAATTTTGTTAGAGGTTTTTTGCTATAGGGAGCGTGCACTTGCCAGAAAGACAGACAGAGACAGAGAGACAGAAAATGAGAAATCACTCCCCAGGGGGGATGGCCACGCTGCAGTCCCTTCTCCATTCTCCTCTCGGGATCTTGGGAACGCACCATACGTGCCCAGCATGAGTTTAATCCGCTGGGTCCAGGACTCAAACCATGGTTGACTACATGGGAGTCCAGTAACATAGCCATTACATCAACTGGTCCCTCAAGGTTTGTTTGTCTGTCTGAGTATCTCTCCCTTTTTCTCTCTTTTGATTTAATTATTTTAACTAATGATTTAATTATTATTTTTTAGTTTTCGCTATAGGGTGTATATGCTCACTGGAGAGAAACAGGGAAAGTGAGAAATTACCCTCCAGGAGGGATGGCCACACCACAATCCCTTCTCCAATCTCTTTTCTGGGGATTTTTGCTATAGGGTGCATGCCTTAACCACTACACCCCCTGCTGGCTCCAAAGGATTCTCTTTTTAGTTCTTGCATTTCTTTTTTTTTTTTTTTTAATTAAATATAGTAATTGAGTAGCTCTTTACATAGTTCAGAGGCTGAAATACTATCATAAATAGGTATATGTGGAGAAATTGCTCTCCCATCCTGCTGCTGGTCTTCGTATTCCCTCCTGCCTGCAACACCCTCCCTATACCTGCTCATGGGGAACTGCTTTATCAGGTCCTTCTATTTCTTCTTGAAAATGCAAATATATGAAATTATGTGTCCTCATTTTTTCTCAGTACCCACCCAGATTGGCACTTTGCTTTTTTCACTTAACAGTAACATCATGGAGGGTTTCCCATATCATTCCATTGGCAATCTCCTTTCCCTCCTTTCCCTTACCTTCCTCCCTTCCTTCCTATAGTTTTTTGCCATTGTAATACCTCAATGAATCACTTTATACATAAGATATTTTGTTAGTGTGTAGGTGTATACTAGATTTCTCAGTAGGACCACTGGGTCGAAGATGAAATGCATTGATAATTTTGCTGTTATTGGTGGTGTACTGTGGTGCATCCCACCAGCTGGCTATGACAATGCATTTCTCCAGTGGCCTTGCCTGACCTACTACCTCCCTCCCTTCTTTCTTCCTTCCTTTCTGTTTATTTACTTTTAATTAGACCAGAGAGGGACGGAGACGAGAGAGAGAGAGACAAAGTGAGAAAGCAAGCTGTCGGGTCCAGCCACAGTCAGCCACGTGGGAGTCCAGTGTCCTTAACCATCAGGCCATCTGCTGGCACCCCTACCTTTCTAAGCTGCAAATCTGACTGCCCCATTTTCATGCCTAGAACCCTTCCATGGCTCTCTAGTACCCTCAGAAGTTCCATAGCCTTATAGGACCTCCAGGGTTCAGCTTCGTCTCTCACCCTTCTCTTCCTGTTTGTCTACCTTCAGGCTACAATGGAGCACCTCATTTCCTTGCAGTGGTCCTACTTTTCCCGCCACAGTGGCCCTGAGCATTCCCTCTGCTGGGAATGCACTTCCCTATATTGTTTCTACTCAACTCTTAGTCATTTTTATGTCTCCTTTCCAAATTTGCTTACTCAGAGATGCCTTCCCTGATTTCCATCTTACTAGTTTGGGGCCCTCTTTACCTCGTCACAGCTCCCTATATGCCATGCACTCCTTTGTTATTATGTCTTCCTTCGTGATGATCTCAGAGTCTGCTTCCTTCATGTGATCATGTCTGTCCTATCACCTGCGTGTTACCAGTGCCCATGAAGCACCTGGCACAGTGTGGCCAAATGAGGGTGGCTGAATTAGGTTGGCTTCTTCATTACACTCTCAGACATAGAAAACAACACTTGTCTTATTTATCTATTTAGATTTTTTCCATAGGGCACATGCACTTGCCTGAGAGAGAAAAAAAGAGACAGAGAGAGGTAAGTGAGAAAGCACCCCCCAGGGGGATAGCCATGCTGCAGTTCCTTCTTCTCCATTATCCTCTTGCAATTTTGGGCATGTACACACATGTGCCCAGCATGTTTTTCAAACTGCTGGGTCTGGGACTCAAACTGCAGAGTCAGCCATATGGGATCTAGTGCCATGCCACCTGCTGGCCCGTCTTATTTATTAAGTGCCTAGTGACCATGTCCCAGGCATTGGGTTCTGCATCCTGCACATCCCATCCTTCTAATCCTTTCACCAGTTTTAGAAAGTAGACATGAACAGGGGCCGGCAAGTGGCATGGTGGTTAAAGGCACTGAACTCCCACATGGCTGACCACGGTTCAAGTCTCGGACCTGGTGACTTGCTTTCTCACTTCCTCTCTCTCCCTCTGATCAAACTGGAAAATAATAATGATAATTATAAAATAAAGTTAAATAAAATAATTCCTTTAAAAAAAAAAAAAAGAAAGAAAGTAGACATGAACACAATTCTTATTTTCCAGATGAGAAAACTGAGGCTGGGAGAGGTGGAGTGACCTGCTTGACTTCCCAGCTAGAAAGTAGCATTTTGATTCCAAGCCAGGACCATGCCCCTCCAAGGCCTACTTTGCTAGTAAGGTTGAACCAGGTCAGACTTGGAAAGACTGGTTGCTCACGAGTATGACTTGGGGCCAGGATGAACTGGGCTGGGAGTTGGGCCAGTTTTCCATGTACAACAAACGAGCTTGGAGGCAGATGGGTGGCCTGGAGGTGCCTGAGATTGCTCAGTCCTGGGGGTGGGAAGGAAGAGGCATGACAATGCCCTTTCACCCCTTCCCTTGCAGAAAGCTGATGGGACCTGCAACACCAACTTCAAGAAGACACAGGCAATGGAGCAGGTGACAAAGGTGTTAGAGGACTTTGTGGACAAGGACCGTGGAATCTTAGTGAGTGAGATGCCTGTATCCCACAATGTAGCAGCTCAAGTCAACCACCATTTTTTGTTGCTCCTGAGTCAGTGCTCTTTGGGCTGGGTTTGGCTGGTACTGGCTGGCTTTGCTCCTGTACTGCACCCAGTTGGTGGCTTGGCTGAGGCTAGTTGGTCTGGGTTGACCTCGCTTGTGTCTCTGCCTTTTGGCTCACTGCCTTGGCTCATGGCTTGGCCACCTGTCTCAGGATCTATCCTGGGTTTGCTCCCATTATAGAATCAGGGGGTCAAGGAATGAGTAAAAATACAAGCAAAGCTGCTGATGCCTGGGCTCAGAGTATTTCATTTCTGCCATGTTCCATTGGCTAAGGCAAGTCATATGGAGGGGAGGGGAAACAGATCTCACCTTTTGATGGGTTGAGTTGAGATTTGTAGGAATCCATGTATCACCATACTCTTGAATCAGCCCCTCTCTTCTCCAATTCCCATCATCTCCATGGCTCCCCATATCCCATCCTGGCTAGAGTCTGCCTGCTCCTCTAGGGATATCGGGTAAAATCAGATCTCTAGGTGTGAAAGGACCCACAGGTTGCTAACCAAGGATCCCCCTCACACACAGGGCAAGTACGTGGCACGCCTAGAAGAACTTCGTGAGGCCCTGGAGAGCTCCCCCTTCTTCAAGACCCATGAGGTGCGAGCCCTGGTGCCATGGGTATACGTGGGAGGTATTGGGATCCAGGTGGCTCAAAAGAGAAACTACCACTGGAGTTACAAGCCAAAGCTATAAAAAGGAGGCCCTGGGTCAGCTGGTCGTATTAAGGTGGCTGGATCCTGCATGGCCAATTGTGTGGTTCAAGTCCTGGACTTGGTGGCTTAAGAAATACACCGAGTCCATGTGTGTGTGTGCCCAAAATATTCCAGGAGGTGGGAGTGATGGAGGAGAAAGGAGTGTGACTATACCCCATGGCGGGGGCAGAGGGGGGAGGTGTTGCTTTCCTGCTTTCCCTAATTTTCTGTCTCTCTCCAGTAAGCACACACCACCCTCTGGCAAATTAAAAAAAAAGGGGGGGGAGAACCCACATTTGGGGCCCAGCAAAGGGGATTTCAGGAGGTGAGACAGGAACATGAACTCAATTGAGCAAAGTGGCCTGGGCATGAAGGCTTACCCTGCTGTGACCCAGGCACATGGTTTAGCCTTCCAAGACTCAGTTTCCTCTTCTCTAACATGGGGTGGAGCCATAGTACCTTCCTCACTGGCTGCTGAGGTATAACAGAGCCCACTTAGCAGCCTTTGGAGTATAGACTCACCTCCTGCCTGTACCTCCTACCACTGCTGATTATTTGGGAATCTTGATGATTCCTAACTACTGTTATATGCCCTCATTGTCTAGGGGCCCTTGCACTTCCCTATCCCCCTCACTTCCAGCCCATCTCTCAGAAAGTCTGAGAAGCGGTGGCATCACCTCTGTATGTATCCTCTCCTCTCCAAGTTCTTTCAACTCCCCTTCAAGCCTCTCTTGCCTCTCTTCCTGACATCATTGACTTCTCTGAAAGAACACTGATCTGGGAATGAAGCTTCAGATCCTAGCTCAGCCACTCAATTGTGGCAGCCGTTCTCCGAAGCCTCGGCCCCGCCCACCCGAAGAGGCTTCAGCCTCCCTACCTGTAGGATAGGATAGGTAACAGCCCCCTCCTCATGGGCACTGTGAAGAGTAAATGGGTAATATATGTAAGGCGTTATCCATACCATTAGTATGTAACAGCTGTTATTTTTAAATTTATAAAGTTAATTTTATTTCTCCCATGACTGAGAGAGAGACAGAGAAAGAGAGGAGAAGGGAGAGCACTGCAACAGGGTCTTCATGCTGTAATCCATACCCAGCCTTTGCCAGCCCTGGATCATGGGCATGTGAGTGTCTGGCATGTTTGGGTAGGTCCCTGGATGCAAACCTGGAACCTTCCCATGTGGGTCAGCCTTGCAGAGCATGGCTTTGCTTCTGCGCCACAGTCTGGCCCTATGTTATTATCATGTTTATTTACATTATTAATTATTTTATTTTATTATTATTTTTAAAATTTGCTACAGGGCACATGTGCTTGCTCACTAGAGAGAGACGGGAAGGGGAGGGAGAGAAAGCAAGCTGCCAGGTCTGGATCTCAAACTGCAGTCAGCCATGTGGAAGTCCAGTGCCTTAACCACCACGCTACCTGCTCACCCTTGTCATGTTTATTTTTATCAAATATTCCTGTTGTCCTTGTCACTACCTTCAGGCTTTAGATGGAAGTCATAAAGAGGAAGCCTGGGGACTCCTTCTCTCTCCTTATGTTTGGTTTCGCCTGCCTGGTGACTTAACATTTTAAAAACTGATTTACTTGAGGCCAGCAGGCAGCGTAGTGGTTAAGACACTGGACTCCCACGTGGCTGACCACAGTTTGAGTCCTGGACCCAGAGGCTTTAAACTCACAGTGGGCACATGTGTGTGCATGCCCAAAATCCCAAGAGGAGACTAAAGAAGGGATTGTGGTGTGGTCTTCCCCCCTGGGGGGTGATTTCTTGCATCTGTCTCTCTAGGCAAGTACACTCACCCTACAGTAAAAATCTCTAGAACACAAACCAAAACAAAACAAAAACAAAAAAACTGAGCTGCCACCATTCAGAATGTGAAACTTCACAGCAGAATCAGGATGTCCAGTTTCCCTTGACAACCTACGAGACATAGTGACATCAGGATACTTGTTATATGCCACCAGCTGTCTAAAGTAGGGCAATGCTTGCCTCATGTGATGGGTACTTGCTTGCCTAGATTTTTTAGCAGTCCTGGTGTTTGAAACCTGATTTAGAACAAGGCAGGGGTCTAAGGACCAGCAGATGGTGTAGTGGCTATGTCACTGGACTCCCACGTCATCGACTGCAGTTCGAGTTGCAGACCCAGTGGCTTAAACTCACGCCGGGTGCGTGTGCGTGCGTGCCCAAGATCCCGAGAGGAGAATGGAGGAGAAGGGATTGTGGCATGGCCATTCCCCCTGGGGGGTGATTTCTCGCTTTCTATCTGTCTCTGTCTTTCTGGAAAACACACGTGTCCTATAGCAAAAACCTTTCAAAAATTTTTTTTGAAAAGAAAAGGGCAGGGGGCTTGTAAACTTGGAGTTAGAGGAAGGGATGGCAACTCCTATTTCTTTTTTATTTTTTGAGAGGTTTTTGCTATAGGGTGTGTGCACTCACCAGAAAGACAAAGAAAGACAGAGAGACAGAAAGCAAGAAATCATGCCCCAGGGGGGATGGTCACGCTGCAGTCCCTTCTCCTCCATTCTCCTCTCGGGATCTTGGGCACGCACGCACACGCACCCGGCGTGAGTTTAAGCCACTGGGTCCGGGACGCGAACCACAGTCGACTACATGGGAGTCCAGCGACGTAGCCATTATACTAACTGCTGGTCCCTGGCAACTCCTATTTCTAAAAGCAAATAACACCAGGACTAGGTAAGCAGCGTCTGCTGAGGGCTGAGTGTGTGAGTGCCATGAGACACTTCATGAGTGTGGGTTATGGAAGGCTGCCCGCAACCCCAAGAGGATCCCATTCTGCAGATGAGGAAACTGAGACCCAAAGGAAGCACTTGCTGAGGTCACCAGCAGCAGCTCATTAAGCCCAAGAAGTTGCCACCTCTTCCTATGGGGACAGCATTATTCAGTCTTCAGGCATTTGAGTTTATGCCCTGGCTTAAAACACGGTAATAGTTAACATTTGTTGTGAATTTGCTATGCACCGGGAACTGTTTTTATGTGCTTAATGTGGATTAATTCATACATACAATACGTACTTCTGACATTACTACTACCCGAAGCAAGAGCCACAGAGAGGTTAAGACACTTCCTAAAGACCATAGAGCCACTAAGTGGCATAGCCAAGATTTGAACTCAGCCAGGATTTGACAGTAAGAACAACCTACCATCCACTCTGCTATACTGCCCGCCAGGAAAGGGACCTCAGCCAGTGCTTGCTCCTCCCTCTGACCTCCTGTCTCTTCCTGCAGGTGGTGGGCAGCTCCCTCCTCTTTGTGCATGACCACACTGGCCTGGCCAAGGTCTGGATGATCGACTTCGGCAAGACAGTGGCCCTGCCTGACCACCAAACACTCAGCCATAGGCTGCCCTGGGCAGAGGGCAACCGTGAGGATGGCTACCTTTGGGGCCTGGACAACATGATCTGCCTCCTTCAGGGACTGGCCCGGAGCTGACCCCCTGCCGGGTTACATGTGGGATAGTGCCAGTCTGGCTGGAGGGGCCCCAAGGTGCTCTGTGGGCCTAAGGTTGGCTATGGGGGAGCTGCTTGTGATGTACACCACCAGAGACCAGTGTGGGAGGTCTGAAGGGCCTGGAGAGCAGGTGGCACCTTGCCTCCTGGTATGGTGGCTGGAAGGACCAGAGGGAGCAGGAAAAGGCAGTCATATGGTACGTCAGTGGAACCAGAACTGGGTGTCCTGATCAGCCAGGAACGTTTCCGAGGGGCTTCTGGAGGCCACAACTGAACTATGCTACCATGAGAATTCAACTTGGATGTCACATGGTATAGTCATGACACAGCACCATGGCTGTATGAGTGCCTTGGACTTTGGCACCTGGTCAGTCCCCTCCTGCTCTGTGCCAGTTCCGAGACCAGAGACTGGGCCAAGTCCACGTTCAGTGTCCTGGAAGGCCAGGTTATCATTTATGAGCAAATGCTGGAGCTGCTCATCCCCGAGAGCAACCTCTCAACTTCCTCTGGAGGCTGTTCAGGTGCTAAGTGGCAGAGGCCCTGAGGAGGGTGTGACACCAAGACCAGCTTGCTGCACCACCCAAGGGCTGGTGGCACTGTGTGTCCTGGCCCAGTGGGATCCTCCCTGTTTCTCAGAGGATTATGCCAACCTGAACCACAGCCCAGCCAGTATCGCTGTTACCCTATCCCTGTGGCCAGTACCACATCTTTTCTTGGTGTACCAGACCCAGCATCAGGAAATGCTCCTCCTGCCCTGGGCCCTCTTGTCTCCTTCTTAGCAAACTGCAGCAGCAGGAAAGAGTTTAAGAGGCAGGGCAATCAGAGCTTCCTTCCTCAGGAGGAGATGGAGAACCCATCCATCCAATCGATCCTGGGGCCCTGGAGTGAAAAATGCCAAGCCTGAGCCACAGGGATGGGAGAGGGGAGGTTGCTGCCGGCTGTGATGCCAGGCTTGCAACCTGTTTGAAACCAAAGACTAGACCCACGAAGTGGGGTTATTGCTCCCCACTCCCACTGTCTACTCCTTCAGCACCGGTAGCTTTGGCTTCCTGGCCCAGGAGCATGGGCCTGGGGAGGGCAGCATCTGCCTCTCCCTAAGCTGAAATTTTAACAGTCTTCTAGGGCTGAGCTGTGCTCCTTTCTACTGACCATCTTTGTATTATTTATACAGACAGGTAGTTAGATAGGGCAGTGCTGGGAAGGAGGCAAAATGGCTTTGCTGTGTCTCCCACCCACAGTGACATCCCAATAAACAGGACGGTCAACATTGTTAAGTTTCGTCTTTTGCATCTGGGGTGTGTGGGCACAAATTCATAACTTGAGCATTAGTGTGGGGTGGGGTGGGGTAATGGGATAATAACTGGTTTAGGAGAGGCAGGCTTGTAGCCGCTGGTTCCAGTTCCTTCCAGTGTGTGCTGAGCTGCTGTTTGTGTGCCTGGCAGTGCGGACAATGCAGCGACACGGTGACCAGGACACCTCCAAGCTCTGTTCTCAGGTGCTTCCAAGAGCATGCACCAGATAAACAGTGCCCACCAGTGTCAGTGTGGAATAAGGAAGTGCAGCTAAATGATCAGGGTCAGGATGGGAGATGCCTCCTGATCACACTATCAGTAACGTCACACTCGTAGAGCTCCCCAATATGACACCCATCACTGGGGACATGGCAGTGAGACAGGCCTGTTCCTCCCCTTTCAGAGTGGAGGTGACAGGTATTTATTACACTCACAGTGTGTGTGCACATTTGCATAGGTAGATCATAAGCACAGTTTGGGGTCAGCACCATGATAAAGTTGAGAGCCGAGAGACAGCCCGACTGGGCAAACACTACCTGGCTTGAACCATGACCACCACTTGCCAGCTGCAGGATCCCAGGCCAGTGACTCCATTTCTTCAGGCCTCAATCTTACTATCAAATGGGAAGGACCTAGCACCTTCCCTACAGGGCTGGAGGATTTCATGAGTTAAAATGGGCAAAGGGGTTGGCACCCATAACATGCTGCTGCTCTGACAGGATTTAAAAACCCAAGAAGGGTGGGGCCAGTAGGTAGCATAATGGTTACGTCACTGGACTCCTCCATAGTCAACTGCAGTTTCGATCCTGGACCCGGTGGCTTAAAACTCAAGCTGTGGGGACCAGCAGTTGGCATAATGGCTATGTCACTGAACTCCCATGTAGCTGACCACGGTTCAAGCCCCAGACCCAGTGCTTTAAACTCACACTGGGCGTGTGTGCGTACATACCCAAGATCCCGAGAGAATGGAGAAGGGATTGTGGCATGGCCATCCCCCTTGGGTGGGGGTGATTTCTTGCTTTCTATCTCTCTGTTTCTGTCTGTCTGTCTGGCAAGCACACACGTCCTATAGCAAAATCCTCTCCAAAAAATCCCTCAAGCTGTGCGTGTGTACCCAGAGTTCCAAGAGAATGAAGAAGGGATTGCAGCATGGCCATTCCCCCAGGAAGTGATTTCTTGCTTTCTGTCTCTCTCCCCTCAGCAAGTGCACATGCCCTATAGCAAAAATCTCTTTAAAAAACAAGACAAAACAACAAAACCCAAGAAGAGGGCCGGTGAGTGGTGTGGTTAAGGAGGCTGGATCCCACATGGTGTACTCAAGAGGTTAAGAGTCCCAGGTCCAGCAGCTTGAAAAGCACACCAGGCATATGTGTGTGTGCCCAAAATCCTGAGGGAAGAAGGGATTGTGGCATGGGCAGTCCCCTGGTGGGTACTTTCTCATTTTCCCTTTCCTGTGAGTATACCTGTCCTCTGGCAAAATTAACAAAAAAAAGGACCAGCAGTTGTAATGCAACACTGTGCATGGAAAGGTTCTGGATGTGGGTCCCCAGGGCTCCCTATGTACACCAAGCACGTATGTGCCTATGATCTTGGCTGGGCGAGTCTGGACGAGGATCACAGCACCAAGACCCTGTTGTGGGTGCTGTCTCTTTCTCTCTCTCATGGAAAAAATAAACTTTTTAAAAAATATATTTACAACTTGGGCAAGCCCCATAGCACAGCGGTTACACACTGCATAGAGAGCTAGATATTGTATGACCAACTGTGGTTCAAATCCTAGCAGACTAAAAATATATGGGATAGATTTATATGCCCCAAATACTGACAGGATGGGATACTGAGGAGAAATGACTATGGTATGACCATGTCATATTAGGGGCTTTTCTCTCAGCACAGGTGCCCTTTGGCAGTAAAAAAAAAAAAAAAAACTTAAAGTGGGGGAGGTACCTAGCCTGGGAATGGGTAACTCTTCCTTGGGAAAGTGATTCCTGAGCCAAGATGGAGAAGTTGGGAAGATCTTCAGCAGAGGGCTGGGGGCTGAAAGGCTGACATAGCTGATTGGCAGGCAGGGAGAGTGGCCTGGCCTAGGGAGAAGTTTGTGAGGCAGGGAGATTTAGTCCCATCTTGTGGCAGGCTGTGGGGCAGCAGAGGGCCTAGGCAGGAGGCTTTGGCAGATGATGTGAGGTGACAGTGAAGAGGCAGTTCCCAGTGGGAAACAAGTGACATCCAGGTGGGAAGGATGGGACATGGAGTCTGAGAGATTGGCACTCTCTCCCTGGAGGAAGGGGCCAGTCAGTGGTCAGTACTGGAAGGATGGGCTTGGGACTGGTGAGTGGGGGACAAGGCCCAGGAGTGAGATGGAATGGGGGGGGGACCCTGATGAAAGATCTCCAAGCTGGGGGCTCTCAGAGATTCAGCCCAAATCTATGTGCTGGCCCACAGGTGGAGCTTTTCAAATGGTGACAGAGCCAGGCTGTGGCCCCAACTAGTGGCTGGAGACCCGTGGTCTGAGAAGCAAGGCCTGGCCACAGAGGCCAGCCTGCACCCCGCCTGCAGGCACTACATATGCCCGGCCATCGGTGGCCCGTGAGGGTGAGAAGTCTGTCAGCTGCAGGTTGCTGTCCCGGACTTGGTTGTAGTCCCATAGCTGATAGTGCCAACTCTTGCCCTGCTTGGAGAGAAGGTAGACAGCACCTGGTGAGCCTTCCTCTGGCAGCAATGGTGGCTGGCAGGGTATGCCGGGCACCGGGTGGAACAGGCCTGGCAGCTCGGGGTCTTCTGTATAGCCGAGGCTTGGCACACTCTGCACACCCAACAGGACCCCTGAAGGAGAGGAGGAGGTGGTGAGTGGCAGCAGACTGAGACACCACAGTGTACGACTCACTGAATCCCCCAACAAACACAACTTTCAGGGAAGGTGCTGCCTTGACCTCCGCATTTCAGAGAAGTAAGCAGGGCAGTGGGCACACAGCAGCGAAGGATGGGCTCTGGACCCAGGCCATTGGGCTCCAAAGTTGCAGGCACATTTTCTTCAGACAAAGGCCTGCTGTGGTGGTCCTTCTGCCTCAGCCTCCCTGCTCAGACTGTGGGTATGTACCACCAGGCCTGGTGCTTATTTATTTATTTATTTATTTTGAGAGAGGTTTTTGCTATAGGGCACGTGCGCTCGCAAGACAGACACAGACAGACAGACAGACAGAAAGCGAGAAATCACCCCCAGGGGGGATGGTCATGCCGCAATCCCTTTTCCTCTATTCTCCTCTTGGGATCTTGGGCACGCACACACACGTGGCCGGCGTGAGTTTTAAGCCACCGGTCCGGGACGCGAACCGCAGTTGAGTACGTGGGAGTCCAGCAACATAGCCATTACACTAATTGCTGGTTCCCCCTGGTGCTTTTTTAGACAGGGCCTCACTCTATGCTCAGGTGAGCCTCGAGCTTGTGTTCCTCCTGCCTCAGTCTCCTTGTGTTGCCGGATTATAGGTGCACAGCACTCCTGGCCTTTAGGCTGGCCTGAGAATTGAACCCAGACCTCCCCTCTGATCCTGGCTGGTGGAGAAGCCTTAACAGCATGTGCCATCATTGCTGGTCCTTCAGGCATTTTAAAGTCCTGCCTCCCGTGGCCTATCAGCACACGGGAGGGGGAGAGGTGGCACTAGATGGAGCAAACACCATCACACTGTCATGTAGTCATCTCTAGCTGCCCAGGAGAGAGATGTGCAGAGAGAGGGTCCTTGAGGACATGCAGCCATGAAAAAGCCAGAGAAGCCTTAATCCAGGCCTTCCAACATGTGCAAATCCAGCCTTCTCTCTAGCTACTGGAACGATGACCACATGGTATCACTCTTCTAAGAGCTTCACGTGTCTTCCCTATGAGGCAGCCCAACAAGGTGGGTGTTAATGTTACCCCCAATTACTAGATTTGGAAACAGAGGCCAAGAAAAGTGAAGAAATGTGCTCAGAGTCACAGCCTGGCAGTGGCTAGGGCAGGTCTGGAGTCCAGACTATCTGATCCTGAAGTCTGTGCTTTTTAGTTTCTGCTTGAAGAGACCCCAACTGGCTGACACCAGAGGTGCCAGCTTCCTACCAGGGCCCACTAAGCACCCTGTGCAGACAGGGATGGCCCAGCTCTGCCCCTGCCCTGAGACAGCATGGCCTACCTGGGAGGCACTATTGCCAGGGCGGGAATGTGAGAGGGCTATGGGGGTGGGGGAGACCCAGGGTGAGGGGTACAGGTGCAAAGGAGGAGGGACCCACCTGCGCTCACTGCCCAGTGGGCCTTGTGGCCCTTCCTCTGACATGGCTCGTGGTTGAAGTCCTCGTCGTAGCTGGTGCTGGTGTTAAGGCCAAAGCTGTTGCCTGACCCTGGGACCCACCCTCTGCCATCCTGACCCTGCTCCCTCCCAGGCCCTGGGATACGGGATGAGCAAGGGATGTCCAGTGACAAGGTGCTGCAAAACAAGGTCTCTGTTGGGACCACCTAGGCCTCCACAAAGCAGCTCAGTCTGGCAGTCCAGCGTCTCCTGGGCCAGCCTGCCCATGTCGGCCACTGCAAGGTGAGAAAACATGGGGAAATGGTGGGGAGAGGGGTGGTAGCTGTGGTCCTGGCACTGTGCTAAGGGCTTGCCATAGACTGCCACTGCCCCTCACCATGGCCATCAACCCCTTGGCACAAATGCAGAAAGTGAGCCACAAAGGTCAGCTGCTTGTCCAAGGCCACAGCGCACAGTGAGGAGGTGGCAGAGTTGGCTGGGAACCCAGGGTTCCAACCTGGCTCCAGGCTCCACCAAGAACCACTGTGCTCTATGGCAGGGAGGAGGGCCTGATGAGTGAATGGAACGAGACCCCTCATATGCCTGCAGTACCCCACCCAGTCTCTCCAACAGCACCCACCAACTCACCAGAGAACATCTCTCCCTGGGCTGTGTAGCCCCTCTCGGTGGCCACCTGCACAAGTCTCTCCAACGGGATGCCACTAGGGGGTGACAGAAGAGTGCCTGCCATCCACAAGGCCACGAGTCCGCATCTGGGGAGACAGGTCCAGTCCCTCAACCCCTAAGTCAGGATTTTGTTAGGCTCCTTCCACCCTGTAAACTGGAGTAAGGAAGCCACCCTCCTCTCTCTCAGGTCAGGTAGGGAGACTTTCCCTTCATGGCAGAGGATGGCCAAGGCCTGAAGCCAGGGCCAGAGGGTAGAGGGTAAGCGGAGAGGCCATCTGGGATTCCTGGGAGTAGAGGCCAAAGCGGAGTTACAGACAGACCAGGTTCACCTGTTAACTCATGGAATTCACTCACTCATTCTAATTCAATTGCTCAAGTACTCCAATTCTGTTTACCACACACGCACCTGGGACCCTGAAGTGGAAGGCTCCCCTTTCCCTCCCTCCCTTCTCCCACCCCACAAACCTCAGTTTGGCTGGGATCAACCCACTCCCCACATTTCCCCAAACCTGGCAAGGACAGAATAAGTAAGACAAGGGAGGGGTCCCGCATGAGAGTACATACTGAGGGCCTTCTTGGATGAGGGATGGCAGGTCTGCACAGAAGAGGATCCAACACAAGTCACTTCGGAACCTGAAGTAGAGCCACACTGGGATCACAGAGAATCAGCTCTGAGAGAGGATAGGCTGGAGCTGGGGTGTCCAGGGATGGTGAAGGGAACACACGCCTGGCTGTCCTAAGGCCAACAGGATTGCTTCTGGCCAGTACTGATCTCTTCCTCCCTGATGAGGCACTTCCCCTCCCTGGGCCTCAGTTTCCTCACCTGGTAGTGTTAGGGAGGGGTGGAATCTTCCTCCTACCTGCATGCTCCCTACCCTTTCTGTTATTGAAGGCTGGAAAGTACAAACTTTCTAACTAATTGAAAGATTTTAGGAAATTTGAGAAATGCCTGCACTCAAACCCTTCCTGTAATCTTTCTTCCTCAAGTCTGTTTCTCAGGCTGTTAAATAGGTTGAAAATCTCTGACTACAGAAGAAAACCAAGTAACTGCTCAATACACCCTGACAATACACCCTGCAGGCCTGTCCTTCAGCCTCCTGGGGTTGACATGTAGACAGTTCTGGTGATCCTAGTCCCTCGGGATCCAAGACTGGTTGGGCAAGGTGCTGAGTGTTCCTATTCCAAGGCCAATGAGAGGGCAAGGGAAAACCAGAGCTCCTGGCTTACAGTTGAAGGATCCTCCTGACTCAGATGAGACCACAGCACAGAGGTTAAAAGCAGGGAGATGTTGGGGCCAGCAGATGGCGTAGTAGTTAAAGCACTGGACTCCCACATGGCTGACCACGGTTAATAAATAAATAAACAATTCTTTTAAAAAAAAAAAAAAAGTATGGAGTTGTGTTGCCCCAGTGCAAACAGGACTCCTCTTTGTACTGTGGCCAAGGGAATTCACCCCTATCAAGTCTTCTCATCTGGAAAATGGAACAAGAAGCCCAGTCTAAGTGGCACAGTCCATAGCATACTGGACTGCAGAAAAGAAAGCCACATGGTCAATCATGGGTTCAGATCCCAGGCCTGGACTGAAAATACATCTGGTATGTATGTCAGTGCCCAAGATCCTGATGAATGAGAGGAAGGGGATCATGGCATCATCAGATCCTGTAAATGGTGCTTCCTTCTCTCTCACATGCATCATGGATAAAATAATTAAACTTAAAAAAAAGTGGGACTGGCGGTTGGCATAGTGGGTATGTCACTGGACTCCCATGTAGTTGACTGCGGTTCGAGTCCCGGACCTGGTGGTTTAAACTCACTCTGGGTGCATGTACGTGTGTGCCTAAGATCCCCAGAGGAGAATGGAGGAGAAAGGACTGCGGCATGGCCATTCCCCGAGGGGTGTGATTTCTTGCTTTCTGTCTGTCTGTCTCTTTCTGGTGAGCGCATGTGCCCCATAGCAACCCCCCCCCCAAAAAAAAGGGCCAGTAGGTGGCATGGACATTACTGAGGCTGGATCCCACATGGCTGATTGCATAGTTTGAGTCCCAGACCCCACAGCTTGAAAATCACATGGGGAACACGTACCCGCATTCCTAAAATCCTGAGAGCAGAATGTAGAATGATTGTGGGATGGCCATCTCCCCAGGGGGTGATTTCTCATTTTCTCTTTCTCTCTCTCTCATGCACACACGTGCCCTATGGTAAACCAAAAAAGAAAAAGAGACAATAATTGTCTCTTCTTGGGGTTGCTTTAAAGATACATACTTAAAAATATTTATAGTAAGGCCAGTCCCAAGTACAGTGGTTAGTGTTATGTACTGGGAGCCAGATCCAACATGACCAACTGCAGTGTGAATCCCAGCTCCAGAAGTTGGAAAAACGGGACAGGCATGTTTGCATGTATGTCCAAAATCCTCACAGAGAGAAATATGAAGAAGGGATTGTGGTATGACCATGCCCCATTGAGGGTGCCTTTTCGCTCTCCCTTTTGCAAACACATGCACCCTCTGACAATAAAACAAAAAAGAATTACTAAGGAGTCCAGCAGATGGTATAATGGTTATGTTGCTGGATTTCCACATAGTTGACTATGGTTTGAGTCCTGGACCCAGAGGCTTGAAACTCTCGCTGGGGGAGTACTGATCTCTTCCTCCCTGATGAGGCACTTCCCCTCCCTGGGCCTCAGTTTCCTCACCTGGTAGTGTTAGGGAGGGGTGGAATCTTCCTCCTACCTGCATGCTCCCTACCCTTTCTGTTATTGAAGGCTGGAAAGTACAAACTTTCTAACTAATTGAAAGATTTTAGGAAATTTGAGAAATGCCTGCACTCAAACCCTTCCTGTAATCTTTCTTCCTCAAGTCTGTTTCTCAGGCTGTTAAATAGGTTGAAAATCTCTGACTACAGAAGAAAACCAAGTAACTGCTCAATACACCCTGACAATACACCCTGCAGGCCTGTCCTTCAGCCTCCTGGGGTTGACATGTAGACAGTTCTGGTGATCCTAGTCCCTCGGGATCCAAGACTGGTTGGGCAAGGTGCTGAGTGTTCCTATTCCAAGGCCAATGAGAGGGCAAGGGAAAACCAGAGCTCCTGGCTTACAGTTGAAGGATCCTCCTGACTCAGATGAGACCACAGCACAGAGGTTAAAAGCAGGGAGATGTTGGGGCCAGCAGATGGCGTAGTAGTTAAAGCACTGGACTCCCACATGGCTGACCACGGTTAATAAATAAATAAACAATTCTTTTTAAAAAAAAAAAAAAAGTATGGAGTTGTGTTGCCCCAGTGCAAACAGGACTCCTCTTTGTACTGTGGCCAAGGGAATTCACCCCTATCAAGTCTTCTCATCTGGAAAATGGAACAAGAAGCCCAGTCTAAGTGGCACAGTCCATAGCATACTGGACTGCAGAAAAGAAAGCCACATGGTCAATCATGGGTTCAGATCCCAGGCCTGGACTGAAAATACATCTGGTATGTATGTCAGTGCCCAAGATCCTGATGAATGAGAGGAAGGGGATCATGGCATCATCAGATCCTGTAAATGGTGCTTCCTTCTCTCTCACATGCATCATGGATAAAATAATTAAACTTAAAAAAAAGTGGGACTGGCGGTTGGCATAGTGGGTATGTCACTGGACTCCCATGTAGTTGACTGCGGTTCGAGTCCCGGACCTGGTGGTTTAAACTCACTCTGGGTGCATGTACGTGTGTGCCTAAGATCCCCAGAGGAGAATGGAGGAGAAAGGACTGCGGCATGGCCATTCCCCCTGAGGGGTGATTTCTTGCTTTCTGTCTGTCTGTCTCTTTCTGGGGAGCGCATGTGCCCCATAGCAACCCCCCCCCCCAAAAAAAAGGGCCAGTAGGTGGCATGGACATTACTGAGGCTGGATCCCACATGGCTGATTGCATAGTTTGAGTCCCAGACCCCACAGCTTGAAAATCACATGGGGAACACGTACCCGCATTCCTAAAATCCTGAGAGCAGAATGTAGAATGATTGTGGGATGGCCATCTCCCCAGGGGGTGATTTCTCATTTTCTCTTTCTCTCTCTCTCATGCACACACGTGCCCTATGGTAAACCAAAAAAGAAAAAGAGACAATAATTGTCTCTTCTTGGGGTTGCTTTAAAGATACATACTTAAAAATATTTATAGTAAGGCCAGTCCCAAGTACAGTGGTTAGTGTTATGTACTGGGAGCCAGATCCAACATGACCAACTGCAGTGTGAATCCCAGCTCCAGAAGTTGGAAAAACGGGACAGGCATGTTTGCATGTATGTCCAAAATCCTCACAGAGAGAAATATGAAGAAGGGATTGTGGTATGACCATGCCCCATTGAGGGTGCCTTTTCGCTCTCCCTTTTGCAAACACATGCACCCTCTGACAATAAAACAAAAAAGAATTACTACTAAGGAGTCCAGCAGATGGTATAATGGTTATGTTGCTGGATTTCCACATAGTTGACTATGGTTTGAGTCACCCCAGAGGTTTGAAACTCTCGCTGGGGGAATGGGGGGGGGGGTGTCCAAAGTTCCAAGAGTAGAATGGAGGAGGATTGTGGCATGGCCATCTCCTCTGGGGGATGATTTCTCGCTCTCTGTCTGTCTCTGCCTTTCTGGTGAGTGCATGCGCTCTACAGCAAAACTCTCTCACAAAAAAATTACTTAGAACACTACGTGACATATGTCAGGTCTGTAATAACAAGCAGTTATTATCTACATCAAATTTGGCTTATTGTAGTTGCACATTTAGGGAAGATTATAAACGAATCTGGAAGCTAGCAGATGGTGTGGAGGTTAAGGCAGCTGGGTCCCACATGGCCGACTGTGGTTTGAGTCCTGAACCTGGTAGCTTGAGCAACACACTGGGGACTGGCCGATGGTCACGTTGCTGGACTCCCACATAGTTGACTGCGGTTCAAGTTCCAGACCTGACAGCTTAAAAAATCTCTTGCCCAGCCCATGTGAGTGCATTCCCAAAATTCCAAAAGGAAAATGAAAAAGAAGGGATTGGGTGTGGCCACCCCCCCCAGGGGGGTTGACTGCTTGCTTTCTGTCTCTCTGTCTTTATCTCTTTGGCCAACACTATAGCAAAACTCTCTTAAAAAAAAAAAAAGGCAAGAAAAACACACTGGGCACGTGTGCTCAAAATCCCAAAAGAAAGGAGAAGGGACTAGTCTGGCCATCTCCCCAGAGGATCTGCATGCTTACTCATTTTCCCCCGTTTCTGGTGAGTGCATAAATCCTAGGGCAAAAATTAAAAATAAATCAACATGGGGACCAGCAGATGGCATAATGGTTACGGCCCTGGACTATCACATAGTTGATCATCGTTTGAGTCCTGGACCTGGTGGTTTAAAACTGGGCATGTGTGCATGCGTGCCCCAAATCCTGAGAATGGAGCAGAAGGAATTGCAGCATGGTCATCCCCCATGGCTGGTGATGTTTCACTTTCTGTCTTTGTTTCTCTCTGGCAAGCACATGTGCCCTATAGCAAAAGTCTTTCCAAAAACCAACCAAATAAACAAAAAAACCCACCACATATCTGGAGAGCTGGAGTTTCATCATGAGTCTGGACAAGTCATTTTTTCCTCTTCCCTGCAACCTGGAAACCATTAAAACAGGCCCATGGTCCTTGCCAGATATAGCCCTTCTTCCCCTCTCCTCCTGGCCAGGTCTTTGTGTTCTCATTAACTTCCTGGGCTCCCAGATTCCAGTCTCATGACCTCCACTCCCTACAGGTAGCCTCCCTCCCTGTGCAAAGACTTTCTATGGCGCCCCACTGCCCTTGGGACAGTCTGACTCCCTTCATGGGGCCCACCATGTCTTTGTAAGTTAGTTCTTGTCTACTTTGCTGTCCCATTTCTGCTATATCCCATCACAATAAATATCTGCAACTACCTTGATGAGAAGAATGTGTCCTATTTCACTCTGAGCCTCTGCACAAGTTTACTCTCATCACATATCCCTTGCATGACCTGCTCAATAGCACTCAGGGTTCCTCTTCTCTTAAGAAGTCTCCACTGCCTCCCTAGCCTAGACCAAACACCTGGGTGGGCTCCATCGTTACAGTCTCAACCACTCTGAGCTGTTGAAGTCTGGTGGGACAGGGATCTGCCTCACTGACTAGACTAAGCACTTATAAGGGCAACTGTCTTCACTGCTAGAGGCATGCCACCACTGAAGGGGTCTCAGTAGAGGACTGGCCCAGCAGGCTGTGTGTCCTAGAGAAAATGGGAAACTGTAGAAAGAGAAGGCTACAGTGATCTGAGGACAGGTGGCTGGGGAAACCCTGGGTGTGTGCGGTGACAAATGGAGAACGTACCGGTCCTTGCGCAGCTTCAGGAGCCTCTTCACATCTTCTCTGCCCTTGGGGACTGGGCCAGCCTTCTCCAAGGCCTCCTTCAAGAGCTGGCTCTTCTCCAGGCCAAAAACATGAGGGGGTGCAGTCCCCATGGCAGGAGGTGAAGGAGGCAGTGGGGGTGGTGGGGGAATAGGAGCCTGAAGACTCCCGAGAGGTGGTGAAAAAGCTAAGTCCTGGGGCCCTGGGGGTAGGGGCGGAGGTGGGATGATGGGCACATGGTGTGCAGGGATTCTTGAAGGGCTTGGGGGTTCTAGGGTAGGAGAGCAAGAAGTCATTTTGGAGTTTATAGGAGGGGCTGACGGGTTGAGAATGTGAGAATAAAGAATCCTTTAAAAGAGGTTGGTGTCAGGGTGAAGACTTAAAGGTTTCAGAATTGAGTTGCAGAATTTGGAGACTGAATGGTAGGTTTTAAAGAACAAGGGATAACATTTAAAAATATGAAACTAAGGGATTGGTGCTGACTCAAGTCATGAGGGACCTGAGGGCTAACAAGATTGAGTCCTCGTATCCGGACGAGTCTGGGGCAGGTTAGGTTGCTTTGGGAGGTTCAGGGAAGGCAACCTAGCAGGAGTTAACTTTGTCTAGGGCTACACTTGTAAACACATGGGTCAATTTCGGGATATGCAGTCTCAGACCTGGAGTGAAGTGTCCAAAGGATGAACTTTGGGGTCCAGGGTTAAAAACTGAGTACAGTCAGGCTCCGTCCTCTCCCACACCCCAACCCGGAGGTTCAGAATCCTTGAGCTGACCTTTCGAGTCAGAGGTCAAGAGGTCAAAAAGGACAACTGGCAGGAAAAGTGGCCTAGTTGTGGAGAAAGTCCTGGAATCTGAGCGCAACGGAAAAGTCTGGGATGAAGAAGGCTCAGCGACCGGAGAGCGATGGGAGTCGCGGCACTGTAGGAATAGAGAAGAGTTAAAACTAAAACGCACCGCCCTGTGCCGCAAAATGGCGCCCTGACTCAGCGCCTTTCCCCTCTCACGTGGTACCATTCTCCAGAGCGCCGGCCCCTTTTCGCGGTCACGTGAGAGGAACGCGAGGCGGCCGGGCTTCCAAGTACTGCCT